CTTCCCTAGAGGTCCTTCCAGCAGTTCCTCTACGCCACCAACAGGTGCTCCGTGGCGTGGAGGTGCACTCTGTGTAACCATGTGGAGGAATGCCGCAGTCCTAATACAAATCATAACATGATTTTTAGGGTTCTGTCCTCAGGGGGGGCCTACACAGACGACCAGTGACCACAGGCATGAGGCGGTGGGAGGGCAGTGGGCACGGGTGCCTTGCTGAGCTGCCCGAGCAGCAAAGAGGGTTTGAGGTGTGATGGCAGCTGAGTGCTGGAAGATGGGCAGGGTCTTAATGTTGGGGTGGGCAAAGACCATCGGGGGCCACAGGGAAGGGGACATGGTGGGTGGGTGGGGCCAGCATTACACTGTGCTCTGGCTGGGGCTTCCCCAGAGAGCCCGGGGCAGCAGCCAGGAGACGGCAGGGCCTGAACGTCGCGTGTGAAGGTCATTCAGTGCGCTGGGGTGTCTCCACTGCACTGGCTGTGCTGGGTTAGCAACATGGTGCTCACTTCCTGCAGGGAGGCAGGTGGGAAGCAGGTGACTGAGGAGTCACGATGGTACATCAGGAAAAAAGTAGAGCCCAAGGGGTGCTGGGAGTTTATATAGGGCGCCGGGCTGTGACCCCTGGGTGGAGCTGGAAAGTGGGTGGTGAGCCGTATGGACCCCTGGGGAGAGTCAGCCAGGCGGAGGTTCCCATGACCGTGGGAGGCTGTGAGGGTGGGAGCCTGGGGGCACAGGCACCTGGGATCTGACTCTCAGGAGTCCAGAGGGCAGAATAGAGGGCCACAGCCAGGACCAGAGCGGCAGTTCCCGGGCTGAGGGGCAGAGAGCAGGGAGTGCTGAGAATGTCAGGGTGGAGGAGAGAGGAGGCGGTGTGATGGGGCTGTGCTGGGGGCCGTGGGCGCAGGGAAGCTCACTGTGCCACCAGCCTGGCGGGCATGGTGTGGGTGGGTGGTGGACTGTGGTGTCCTCCAGCTCTGTTCCACTGTGCAGATACAGGCTGGGATTGATTGGTAGAGAGTTGGTTTTTAAAAACTTTTAGGTTTTTTTTGTTTGTTTGTTTTTTGTTTTTGAGATGGAGTCTCGCCCTGTCACCCAGGCTAGAGTACAGAGGCGTGATCTCTGCTCACTGCAAGCTCTGCCTCCTGGGTTCATACCATTCTCCTGCCTCCGCCTTCCGAGTAGCTGGGACTACAGGCGCCTGTCACCATGCCCGCCTAATTTTTTGTGTGTTTAGCAGAGATGGGGTTTCACCGTGTTAGCCAGGATGGTCTCGATCTCCTGACCTCGTGATCTGCCCGCCTCAGCCTACCAAAGTGCTGGGATTACAGGCGTGAGCCACCGCGCCCGGCCTAAAAACTTTTAGTTTTTTAAAGACAGGGTCTTGCTGTGTTGCCCAGGCTGGAGTGCAGTGCACTCAGTTGCTCACTGCAGCCTTGATTTCCCCAGCCCAAGCAATGCTCCCACCTTAGTCACTCACTGCAGCTTTGACCTCCCCAGCCCAAGCAATCCTCCCACCTCAGCGTCTTGAGTAGTTGGAATCACAGGCTCATGCCATCACATCAGCTCTTTTTTTTTTTTTTTTGTAGAGACCAGGTTTCTGTGTGTTGCCTGGGCTGGTCTCAAACTCCTGGGCTCAAGTGATCGTCTCACGTTGGCCTCCCACAGTGCTGGGATTCCCTTGTGTCCAGCCCTGAAGTACAGATTTCTTTTTTTTCTTCTTCTTTTTCTGAGACAGAGTCTCGCTCTTGTTGCCAAGGCTGGAGTGCAGTGGTATGATCTCAGCTCGCTGTAGTCTCTGCCTCCTGGGTTAAAGCGATTCCCCTGCCTCTGCCTCCCAAGTAGCTGGGATTACGGGCACCCACCATCACACCTAGCTAATTTTTGTATTTAGAGACAGGGTTTCACCATGTTGGTCAGGCTGGTCTCAAACTCCTGGGCTCAAGCAATCCTTCTGCCTTGGCCTCCCACAGTGCTGGGATTCAGGTGTGTGCTCCCGTGCCCAGCCCTGAAGTCCAGATTTCTTGAGGCTTAAGGGGTGCATGTTCATGTTCCCCGGAATCCAGATGTTGAAATCCTCACCCTCAAGGGGATGGGATGAGTATTTGGAGGTGGGGCCTTTGGGAGGTGATTAGGTCATGGCGGCAGTGCCTCATGAATGGAATTAAGTGCCCTTGTGAAAGAGGTATCAGAGAGGAAGCCAGCCCCTTCGACCATGCATAGATACAACCAGAAGAGCCATCTGTGAACCAGAAGGTGGCCTTACCGGACACTGAATCTGCCCGTCCCTTGATCTTGGACTTCTGCCTCCAGGACTGTGAGGAATAAATGTTTTTGATAAGCCTCCGTCCTAAGCCTGTGGGACCTGGCTGCCCGGCCTCTCCTGGCTCCTGGGGACCCTGACTCTGTTTGTCTGCTGTACGCACATCCCACACAGCCAGCACCACTGGGAGTAGCTGCTGCCCCTGGCATGTCTTTGCACAGAAGTGGTCACATCTGGGGCCATGCAGGCTTGTGGCTCCTTCAAGCTGCCTGTGACAGCCGTCTATGCCGGCTGGGATGGGAAAGTCCTTTCCTTGCTAGACATTTTTCCGTGGCCGTGTCAGGCTGGGTGCTGTTCATGTGACCCTGGGGACGGGTGCTGTGTGGAACAGGAAGAGAGTGAGGTCCTGGTGCTTGCTGAGGGAGGCCCAGAGCTGGGAGGATCTATAGCAACAAGGGTCCCTGTGGCGTGAAAGCCTTCAGGTCCTCTAGCAGAGCTGCCTGTCCTCTCTACCATCGGACCTGGGTTCCGAGGTGGGAGAACCTGGAGGTCATGTGGTTCCCGTACCCACACCAGGCCCCATCCTCACGATGTGGCCAGGTGCTCACAGCTCGACACTGCTGTGTTGGCTGAGGTGGGACCCCGTGTGTATGCGGCCTGTCTGTGGATGGGTGTCTTTTTTGGGGATCACAAACCCAACTTTTAACTTAATCCCTTTATGGGAAGCAGCGAAGGATTTCCTTTTAATTTTATCATGTTTGGAAATGTTATCACAGGATGCAGTGCCGTGGACTTAAGTGTTAATTGAGAGGTTCTGAGGTGTGGCAGAGGAGCCCTAGAACTCTAAGGCAGAAAAGCAGAGGGGCTGCTATGCCTGGACCCTGTGGGACAGCCATGTCCTTGTCACAGGGTGGCCTTTTGTGTTCTCACAGACCAGGAGGCTCTGGGAGGCTAGGGAGCTTGCTGGGTACCTGGCAGGACACCCCTCCTGTGCCCCATCCTCTGCAGGGCCCTGTGTCCTGCCTGCACGGGCCAGCGTGTGGAAGCAGACACATAATGGCCTCCAAGCCGCAATCTGCCAAGCAGCTCCCTGACATTTCATGGGGCAGGGAAGAGAGCCCTGTGGCATTTCCCTTAGTGCCCTCCCTGCAGACCCTCAAGTTATCACCATGCCCAGTGGCTTTCCTGCTTCCAGGGAGGGAGGCCCCCCCTCTGGATGTCTCCCTGGACCAGCGCCACACTCCAGAGCTTGGCTTAGGGGCTCCGGTCCTGTGTCTGAGCTGTTGCAAATGGGAAGGGGCCCCTTGGGACTTGGCTGAAGTTCTTGCTGAAAAGTAAGTAAGTGGTGGTGAGGTTTACAAAGATGGCTGCAGTCGAGGCTGCCGAAAGGCAGGAGGGCCTGAGCTTCAGGAGCAGGGACAGGATGCATGCCTGTGGCTTGGAATAAAAATGTCTGAGGCCAGGCTTCAAGTACTTGTGAGGCCAAGGTGGGCAGATCACGAGGTCAGGAGATCGAGACCATCCTGGCCAACATGGTGAAACCCTGTCTCTACTAAAAATACAAAAAAAATAAATAAATAAATTAGCCGGGCGTGGTGGTGGGCGCCTGTAGTCCCGGCTACTCAGGAGGCTGAGGCAGGAGAATGGCGTGAACCCAGGAGGTGGAGCTTGTAGTGACCCGAGATAGCGCCACTGCACTCCAGCCCGGGCAACAGAGCGAGACTCCATCTCAAAAAAAAAAAAAAAAAAAAGGTCTGTTTAGTGTTAACAACTCTTTTAAAAAGATAAAATATTTTTAAAAAAATTTAAAAATGTGCATTTACTCAGTTGAATTTTGTTAGGTTTTAATACAACTGTGCTTATTTTAATCATGAGAAAGAAAACACTGGGGAAAGGCAGAATGCGCTGCAGTGATGAAAATGCAGGGATGTTATTGCCAAATTCTCATGTGTCAGTCACGGTATTGAAACTTCTCTTTCCGGTCACTTGCAGTATTCTGCCGAAACCCTGAACAACAGCGGTCGTCTGTTCCCTTTGGAGCTCAATGGTGAGTGCTTTAGGAGCTGTGGCTGGAGGCCTGAGCAGGGCTGGGACCAGGCTCCTGGGCTGGGAGGGTCCTGGACGCAGAACATGAGCCTGATCTGCGGAAGCCAGGAAAGTGTTCGTGTGCCCTGCACTGGGGCATGGAGTGGTCCCTGCTGCTGTCCCTGCACAGCTGGGCCAGTGGTCAAGAGTGGTCTGTGAGCAGGACGGCTCGTGTAGAGTGCAGGCCCAACCAGGTCTCTCCCTCCTCAGCTGGTGGGCCCAGGGGTCTGCTGTGCCCTTTCTGGAAGGTGCAAGGCCCACCCTGTGGCCACTAAAAGAACAGGATGGTGTGGCCGGCAGGGCTTGTAGTGTCAGCTGGAGCGTGCCATGGCATACTGGGCAGCCCACCTGCTGTCCGTGCCGTGGAGGGCGTGGCTGTGCCTGGCTCACCTGCAGGTTGGCCCTTCATTGATGGGGAGCAGGTGCTCCGAATATAGGGGCTGGCGGTGTTCATGGGCCAGGTAACCCTGGGGTCCCAGGTCCTCCCCCAACGAAGGTCCCAGGGCATCTCTGTTGGCCCTGCTGACCCGACTGTGACGCGCCCAGCGCCCTGTGTCACACAGAGTAGGCCCGTTAGGAGGATCACCTTGCTGAGCGCCAGATTACCAAAGTGAAGGTGTTTTACCAGATTCTTTTACAAGTAGATGGAAGTAGGAAGTGTGAGGCCCCAGATGGCCTGAGCCCCACCCTCTGCCTAGCCTGTGGTGTGATGTTCTCACGTCAGCCTCCTGGGGTTCATCCTGCACACGGGCCCAAACCAGCTACCTCCATCCTGGCTCAGAGCTCCGCAGGGCTTTCTACACTCCTCACCTGGCTGGCCGCTCTCCTTGCCTACACCTCCACACCTCCTCCCCACAGCCCCCATCTCTCTCCTGGCCGCCCCAGAGTCCCCCAGGGCCTTTCCCCCTGTGAGGCAGGTCTCAACAGTCTCCACTCCAAGTTTCTCGGCTGGACAGTGACTGCACAAGCCACTGGGGGAGTCCTGGGGGTCCAGATGACCCCGCCCAGGCAGATTCCATGCCAGTCCATGCACCTGGCCTTGCTCTCAAGGCTTCTCCGAACCAGGTGGCAGGGGGACTGGGGAGTATGTCAGACAGGCGGCCCCAGGACAGTTGCACAGGAAGTGAGACTTGAGGAGGGGCTCCAGGCTCTGAGGTTTTTGAGGAGTTTCTGAGGCTCAGACTCTCCCTGAAGACCCTGGCAGCAGGTGTGACCCTGTGTTGTTGCCCATGTTACCGAGGGACCTGAGCTGCTTTAAGAAGGGGCTCTGGAGAGTCCTGGCCAGGGAAGCTGCACATCCTTGAGCTGCCTGGTCACAGAGGGAGGGGGTGTTTTGCGGATGCAGGAAGAATGTTTTAGCAAGGCTGTTGGGAGAGCAGAGCCATGCAGTTGTTCTCAGGGAGGCACTGGTGGGGAGACGGACGCCTCCTTCAGACACGGCGCCCCTTAAAGAAGCGAGCCGAGCCCTGCAGCTAACCTGGCAAGGGCAGGCGGGGCTGTGCCCACTGTGCGCCATGGACATCTCGGAGAAGCACGTCCAGGGGTGATGGCAATGGGGCTGTGCCCTTGATGGCTCTGCCAGGCTGTTTACCAGGACAGATGTCACCCCACATGGTGGGAAGAGGCTAGGCCTGCTCTGTGGCTCACCTGTCTCTTCCACTGCCTCTTTGTGTCTTTTCTGGTAGACCAGGGTCCCTGGAAGGTCTTAAGTGGAGGACGGCCCGTTGGAAGCCAGGCAGCCACGAGACCTGATTTCTGCTTCCTGCCAGGCCTGTCTGCTGCTGCTCACACCATGGGTCTTCAGTGGCGGCCAGAGTCCCCGGGCCCAGGCGTGGGCCTGGGCGCAGCCAGCACTGTGGACCCCAGTGAAAGTACAGGCTCGTCCACGGCCCCACCGACCAAGCGACATTGCCGGTCCCTGTCAGAACCTGAGGAGCTGGTGCGCTGCCGGTCCCCCTGGCGCCCTGGCAGCTCCACGGTCTGGACTCCAGTCTCCAAGAGGCGGTGCAACAGCGGTGGGAGCGCAACACTGCAGGGAAGCCCCGGCGCCGTCCTGCCGAGGAGTGCCGTGTGGTTGACCGGTCCCACCTCACCCGCCACGCCCCGGCCGTCCTCGGCCAGCAGCGGCTTCGTGGACAGCAGCGAGGGCAGTGCAGGCTCAGGCCTGCCCTGGTGTTCCGCAGAGCCCTACTTGCTCTCCGTGAGGCGACGCCTGTCCCTCTCACAGGAGCAACTCGCAGGTGTGGGCACTCCCCTGCCCTCGGCCAGCAGCAGCCCCACGTCCACGCCTGAGCTGGGCCGGCACCGTGGGCTGCTCCGGTGCCGCTCACAGCCCTGCGTGCTCAGTGGGAAGAGGAGCCGGCGCAAACGGAGGCGTGAGGAGGACGCCAGGTGGACACGCCCATCCTTGGACTTCCTAAAAATGACCCGGGTGAGGCTTTCTTGTTCCCAAGGGCTCAGAGGGGCGTAGATCTGGACGTGGCAGTGCCGGGGTGAGGCTGGCTGATTCTCTGGGAAGCGGCTGCTATCATCCAGCTGGTCTCCTCTGGGCTGGGAGGAAAGGAGTGAGGAGAGCCGTCCGGAGTGGGTGGGAGTGATCGGGGCCTGTCCCAGTGTCAGAACACCCAGCTTACCCTGCCTGCCCCCGCAGAGGCAGAGCCCCACACACGGCCCAGGGTGGCCGGCCAGGCTCGCACTGTGTGGCCTGGGGGAAGCAGCAGAACAGAGCTGTGGGTTTCTGGCCTAGCTAAGCCACCTGCCTCAACTGCTGGGGAGCCCCCTGACTTTTTCTGGCATGGTGATGGCTCAGGAAGTAAGAGGCTGTCCTGGGAGCCCCATTTGAGGCAGAGCCCGGGGTCCTCTCTTGTGGGAGCTGGTGGGTGTCCCTGCTGCAGCTCAGAGCCCAGCAGCGCCTGTGCGCCTTGGGACTCTACAGGCACCTCCTGCAGAAACTGTCTTGAAGATTTCTTGCAAGCCTGCACCCACTTGAAGATTCTCAGTGCCTCCCACCTGCTCACCTCTCCACCTGCTGTCACGGGCTGTGGTTGGCACAGAGTTAAGGAAGGGAACAGGACTGAGGAGGCTTTCCCAGGTCTTGCTCTGTGTTACTAAGGGGGTGCATTCACCAGAGACCTCTGGGGGCCCTGGCAGCGCTCGGGGAGGGAGATGGCAGAGCCGTGACAGAGTAGGGTGGGCTCTGTGCACACTCACTGGGTCGTCTGTGTTGGGGAGCTTTGGGCAGTGGCAGAAATTAACAGGACTTCCCGATGCCAACTCTGAGTGCAAGCCAGGACTGAGTGGGGCTGTGGCTGGGGTGGGGTGGGATCAGTGTCAACCTCTCTCCTCAATGACCTGTGGCCTTGGCAACCCCCCGACCTCTTGCCCCCAGCCCCATCCTCTGGGCCACAGGCCTGCCCATGCCCGGCCTCTGGGGAGAGTGGATGTGGGTGGAGCTGTGCACAGTGCGGCTGCACTGTCTTGCTCGGGTGGGCTGGACCTGGGTACCCTGTGGGGACAGTAACTGGAGAAGGGGCACAGATGGCCCACATCCTGCTTGACCTGGCCACAGCTCAGGGCTGGAGAGCAGTGTGGCTGGCGTGCTGGGTGGGATCCCCCAGGGTCCTCCGGGACGCTGGTGCTAGGCCACACCGAGGGCACTGTGAGCTTTGCCTCTTCTCATCAGTGGGTTCTCCAGTCGATTCTTCCCGGGGGCTTGAGGTGAGTTGAAAACCTGGACTTCCCTGCTGTGAAACTTTTCTGCACAGAGCAGGATTTAGAGAAGAAGGCTCTGATCTTTTGCTATGAGATGGGCTGACCTGGGGAAGCCAGTAAATGCTGGAAAGCTGGTGGCGAGCTTTGGACATAGCATAAGCAGGCCGTCCCTGCTTGCCAGGGCTTGGGGTGTGCACAGCGTGGGTGTCAGTCCCCGTGGGGACCGGGAGGGACGGGAGTGGAGGAGGGAGCTGCCGGCTCAGCACGTTGTGGGGCAGGGAATGATGGTGCCAGGGACCTACTGATGACCAAACAACAGTCCTGCTGTAGAGGTGGCCCTGGGTTTCTCAGATGCCTTGGGAGACAGACCAGGTGGTCGGCTGAGTTGGTGATCAAGGACCCTTGGTAGAGGCTGCATGGGGCTCAGTCTGGAGATGGGGTACCCCCAGCAGAGTGTGAGGTGTGGGTAGCAGCAAGGACTCGCCAGACCCAGGACCAGGGCTCATGGGCACCCAGGGTGTGTGGTGTGTTCGGGAGACTGGTGGGAGGAGGGCAGGGCTGCCGTCAAATGCTGAAGTGTGTGTGTGTGTGTGTGTGTGGCACATGTGCTGTGTGGTATGTGTGGTGTATGTGGTGTGTGGTGTGTGTGACGTCTGTGTGTGGTGTGTGATCTATGTGTTGTGTGTGGTCTGTGGTGTGTGATGTGTGTGGTATGTGTGGTGTGTGCTGCGTGTGTGGGATATGTGTTGTATGTGGTGTAGTGTATGTGTGGTCTATGTGGTGTGTGTGGTATGTGTGTGGTGTGGGGTGTGTATGGTGAGTGCTGTGTGGTGTGTGTAGTGTGTGGAGTCTGTGATGTGTGTGGTGTTTGGTGTGTGTGTGTGTGGTCTGTGTGTGTGCTGTGTGGTGTGTAGCATGTGTGGTGTGTGGTGGGTAGTATGTAGTGTGTGTGTGAGACGTGTGTGGTATGTTTGGTGTGTGCTGTGTGGTGTGTAGTCTGTGTAGTGTGTGTATGCAGTGTGTGGTCTCTGGTAGTGTGTGTGGTGTGTGTGTGTGTGTGGTGTGTGGTCTGTGGTATGCGTGATGTGTTGTGTGGTGTGTGTGATGTGTAGCCTGTGTGTGGTGTGTGTGTGGTAGTGTGTGGTGTGTGTGATGTGTGTGGTGCATGTGTGACATGTGTGGTGTGTGTGGTGTGTGTGATGTGTGTGGTGCATGTGTGACATGTGTGGTGTATGTGGTGTGTGTGGTGTACATGGTGTGTGTGTCTAGTGTGTGTGGTGTGTGTGAGTGCATGGTGCGTGTGTGACATGTGTGGTGTGTGTGGTGTGTGTGGTGTGTGTGACGTGTGTGGTGGGTGTGATGGGTGTGGTGGGTGTGGTGGGTGTAGGTGTGTGACGTGTGTGGTGTGTGTGGTGGGTGTGGTGGGTGTGGTGTGTGTGACGTGTGTGGCGTGTGGCGGGTGTGGCGTGTGTGGTGTGTGTGACGTGTGTGGTGTGTGTGGTGGGTGTGGTGTGTGTGTGTCTGATGCATAAGTGGGTGCCTGGTTTCTCTCTGGGAGGAGAAACTGCCGTTGTGTGGGAACTGGAGCCGTGACCCCCAGGACTGGGGCTGCACGGGGTGTCCCATCCCTCAGATCCATGTAGCCCCTGGCTTTGGGCCCCTTGCTGAGCCTGCCTGTCCCTGTCCATGCAAGCGCTGGTGGCCCAGGCTGGTGTCCCATCCTCTGGATGTTTCTCCAATTCAATCTTCCTTCCTCTAGACCCCAGTTGTTCTGCCTCAGGCCTTGATACCCTTTTCGGCTACTGAGACATCATCCTAGTTTGTTTTGTTGCCTCATATCTCCATCTTTTTTTTTTTTTTTTTTTTTTTTTAAAGACAGAGTTTACTCTTTTTGTCCAGGCTGGAATACAGTGGCACAATCTCGGGTCACCACAACCTCTCACCTTGTGGGGCTCAGCAATTCTCCATGCTCGACACCTCGCCGAGTCACTGGGTGCACGACAATACACCGCCACCCTTGGCTAATTTTTGTATTTTTAGTAGATAAGATTTATACCATGTTGCGCAGGCTGGTCTTGAACTTCTGACCTCAGGTGATCCGCCTGCCTTGGCCTCCCAAAGTTGGGGATTACAGGCATGAGCCACCGTGCCCCGCCCTCCCTTAATCATTTTTTTAGCGACGGGTCTCGCTGTGTCCCAGGCTGGAGTGCAATGGTATGATCTCGGCTCACTGCCAACCTCTGCCTCCCGGGTCCAAGGGATTTCTTCTGCCTCAGCTTCCCAAGTAGCTAGGATTACAGGTGCCCTGCCACCACTCCAGCTAATTTTTGTATTTTTAGTAGAGATGGGGTTTCACCATGTTGGCCAGGCTGGTCTCGAAATCTGACGTTGTGATCCACCTGCCTAGGTCTCATTTGAGGTCAGGTGTTTGAGACCAGCCTGGCCAACATGGTGATACCCCATCTCTACTAAAAATACAAAAATTAGCTGGGCATGGTGTTGGGTGCCTGTAGTCCCAGATACTTGGGAGGCTGAGGCAGGAGAATTGCTTGAACCCAGGAGGCGGAGGTTGCAGTGAACTGAGATCATGCCACTGCACTCCAGCCTGGGTGACAGAGTGAGACTCTGTCTCAAAACAAAAACGAAAACAACAAAAAAACCCCAAACCAAAAACCACCACGCCTGCGCCACCTCACAGACACCACGCCTGCGCCACCTCAAACACCACACCTGTGCCACCTCAAACACCACGCCTGCGCCACCTCACAGACACCACGCCCGCGCCACCTCACAGACACCACACCTGTGCCACCTCAAACACCACACCTGTGCCACCTCAAACACCACGCCTGTGCCACCTCACAGAAACCACGCCTGTGCCACCTCAAACACTACGCCGGTGCCACCCACAAACAACACACCTGTGGCACCTCATACTATGCCTGTGCCATCTCACAAACACCATGCCTGTGCCACCTTACAGACACCATGCCTGTGTGTGTGCCACCTCATAAACACCATGCCTGTGCCACCCACAAATACCACGCCTCTGCCATCTCACACCACACCTGTGCCACCTCACAAACATCACGCCTGTGCCACCTCACAAACATCATGCCTGTGCCACCTCACAGTCAAACACCACGCCTGTGCCACCTCACAGTCAAACACCACGCCTGTGCCACCTCAGGGGTCCAGGAGGCCGGTGGGGAGGCGCTGCTCAGGCCTCCTTGGAGCTCAGTCAGGAGGCTGTGGTTGCCTGGAGGCTCGACCAAGGCTGCAGGACCTGCTTCTAGGTTCACCCACGTGGCATTTGGCAGGAGGCCTCATTGCTTTGTCACATGGGCCTCTCTGAGGGGCAGCCTGAGTGTGTTCACGATATGGCCACTTGGTTTCCCATAGCGAGTGACCCCAGTGAGCGTGAGTGGGCCCCAAAGAGCCCTGTGTGACCTGGTCCTCACCAGCTGAGGTTTTGTCTGCTTCTTGACTCTGTCTAGCCCTTACTCAGTGGGAGGAAGATCGGGCTCCACTTTTTGAAGAGAGTGATTTCAAAACCTCTCTTCTCCGTAAGGAGTGCCGGTCAGGAACGGTGCTTGTGGAATGGTGTTGGCGCTGGTGCTGGTTCTGGTGCCCCCACCCTCCTTGTGCTGGAGTTTGGTTGGCCACAGACAGGTAGGGGCTTACAGAGAGGATACGCAGGTGCAGAGCTTTCTTTCTTTC